GTTGGGCTTGCAGCTCTGCTTTTAAGAAGTATGAGCTACTCAGGGCAACAATGAGATCCACCTTCTCCCTTTCCGAGGGATCTCCCCAGGAGCTCCCTATTACCTAAAATGGCCTTCCTTGGCCCCATTAGAGAGAAAGGGTCTGCAATGCCCACACCTTAGGTCACCCCACCTTGGAGCTGTGTTTCTCAAACTTTGGAGGCATTGATAACACCTGGAGAGTGAAGAAAAACCTGCAGGCAGTTGGAGGTAGGCTAGGGCTAGGCCCAGGGAAGTATCTCAAGATCACCAGGTGCTTTGAATACCTACCGACTTTTGAGACCCACCGGGCCAAGTGAGTCTCAATGAAATCACAAATGAGCTACTAACTTTCTGTGTCTCTGACAAGACTGAGATTGAGAGCAATCTGAAATGGTGAGCCCAGGGTAGAGGGACAATTTGACAAGGAAGCCCTGGAGTGATCTCCAAGTTGGTCCCAATCCCCAGCCCTCCCTGGCTGTGTCCTTGGCAAACCTCCCCAGCCTTGCAGGTCCTTAGTCTCTCCTAGTTAAAGGGGGGGAGGGGGAGTGTGACATCGAGCTCACAGAGGGTGATGTGAAGGCTAAATGGGAGGACATGCCAAAATGACAGGTGAAACTGCCGCATGACTGTGTCTGTGTCACCCTGGTCAGCTCCTATCCTTCCTTCCCTGGAGCTTGACAAACAGAAGCAAGAACCAAAGCAGCCTGTGGTCTGAAAATACCCTGCCTTCTGACTCTTCTCCAACTTCAGTGAGTGCTTGTTTAACATGCAGGTGCCAGGGCTCCACTCAGGGTCTGAGTCAGGAGGTCATCATTGGGCCCAGGAGTCTGCGCTGTGAAACTGCCTCCAGTATGGAGCATGCTGGGTGGGCAGGGCTCAGGCCTCTGCTCTAGCTGGGCTGCAACGCCCATGCTGCTCTGCTCCCAGAGAGGAGGGACAAAGTGAGGGAGAGGAAAGGACTGGACTAGTTGGTATTCAACAGGGGCTTCTAACTCCCCACTCCCTGGCTCACCCTCTCTTCTCCTTTAAGTCTTTCTTCAAATCACCTTCTCCTCTGACCACCCAGGTAATTAACATGCTGCTCTACCTCCCACATAGCACTTTCCCTGGCCATTCTACCTCTTTTTTTTTTTTTATAGCACTTTCTCCCTTCAAATGTACTGAAACTTTACTTACTTATTATGTTCCAGTTTCTTTTCAGTTCCCCCTTCTAAACTCCATGAGGGCAAGGGTCTCTGATTGTTTTGTTTATTGCTGTTTCTCAAATGCAAAGAACCATATTGACTATTGGGGAGCTCAGTAACATTTACCAATGAACAATGAATGGATGGATGCACGATATTTTAATGCGATTATCTGAGGTCTGCATGCCATTCTGGACCACAGGTTTCTCAGCTTCTGCCATCATTACAAGGCACAGAGGGGGTTCTTGGTTAGGGTTTGTTGATGATTATTTGTAACTAACCAATGAGTGACTAAAGACGGGAATGGAGAAATCCATCAGTTGTAGCTCAGGTGAATGTTGACAATGGATTGATTTGCCCAGAGGAAAACCTTCATGTTCCTCAACCTCCTCCATTTCCCACCACTCCCTCAGTTGATGCTCTCTCCTAGCAATGGCCCCCCTCCCAGCACAGTGCTTTCCCATGGATTTGCCAAAAGGGGTCGCTGAATCCTAACTTTTCTTCCTGGCTCAGAAAACTCAGGGCAGCTATAGCTGAGGACTCAGAAGCCAGGGTGAGAGTGGAAGGGAAGGTGTGGGAAGGCCCAGAACCCCTCCTAGAGCTGCCAATGTGTCTTCTGCCAGTATCATTGCCAATAAGATACTGGTCACCTGGTTGGGCTCTGACCTTGGCACTCATATCTAATTAGATTGTAAAGACCTCGCAGAGAGAGAACACCTGTTTGCTTGTACCTCTCTTTAGCCTTAAGGCCTGAGCATAAAGTAGGTGTCAAGTAGCTACTTTTGGTTTTCCTCTTTGCATCTGACATGTGAAAACAGGTGACAGAAAATGGACAGCATATATAAATAAGTGGAATTAGATAAAAGTTCTGTGAAGAAAACCCATGCTGAGTAGGGGACTGAGACCAAGAGAGAAGGCTATGGAGATAGGGCAGTTAGAAAACAACCCCCAGGAAGGGAAGGAGCAAAGCATGTGGACTTCTGGGAATAGTGTTCCAGGCAAAGCACAGCAAGTACAAAGGCGCTGAGGTGGCAGCAAATATTTGCTGTATTTGAGGAATAAACCACACAAGGTGTGATGAACCTTGATAAGGACTTTGGCTTTTATCCTGAGCATGATGGGAAGACAGGACAGATCGTCCAGAGCTGGCTGTGTGAGTGATCAACTGCCTGTGAGGCTGGCTGGGGTTCACAAACCAGTCAGGATGCCGTGGGCAATGGAGATATGTTTCTGGCTTGGATTCACTTATTGCTACAATAGATCCCTGCTGCTCCTAGAAAGCCCAAGGTCTTCAGCTGAAGTCCGCGGAGCTGCAGGATAGCATTCTCAGCCAGGGACACCTGGGAAGCCCACCCCCCACCAATGCCAAGTTTCACCTCTGCCCAACTGACGCAGGGGATGAACATCACTCATCAAGAACCACTGTTTCAAGGGCCTGTGGATGGACTTTTCATCCCACCCCATATTTTATCTGCATGTCCATTTGGTATAAAAGGGATGAGAAGTTCCTTGGCTTTCATCAGATACCCCCAAAGATCCAAAGTCATATTCTTAGGTAGAGGAGTTCTGCCAGGAAAAACTGGGTTAGAACCTACCACCCGGGGTGCTCACTGCTTCCTTCATCCCCCATCCCCCCACCTCCCCAGTTCCTTTGCTTTGGCTCCTCCATCTCTTTCCTCTGTCTGGATTTCCTTTGATGGAAGCATCTCCTTATTTCTAGCACTTAGTCTGCTGCCAAACTTCAATGCCTCTTCAAATATGAGTAACCCGTTCTCCTTCCAGACCTGAGGCTCTCTGTTCAGTGAGTCTTTTCTGGGTTCTTTCTGTTTGCAACCTTGTCATGTGCCCGACAAGAAATCAAACTTTGATCTCCTGGTTCATAGGTTGACGCTTAACCACTGAGTCACACTGACTAGACATGAAGAAAAGGCTTTTGTTTCATTTCCAGGGACACTATCTCTGCTTGTCACCCACACTTCAGAGCCCAGGAGCCCCTTCAGGAGCCCTGGTCCTGGAATAAAGGCCAGGCCACATGTGCCTGAGTATGCTGGGAGATGGCAATTGGGGGTGCCTGGGAGGGCCTGGCTCCCTGAGGACAGCACTGACTGGCTTTGGCAGGCACTCAGCTCCTCTGCTTCTTGTCTGGACCTGATGAGTATGGTCCTGAGAAGTTTCTCTTTCTGTGTGGGATTTGGGGTGTGGGGTGTGGGGTGGGCAGTGGGCTCTGTATGGAATTGTTGTCAAGCACCTGGGGTTCAAGGCACAGTTTAAGGCCCATCTCAGCAACTTACAAACCTGTGACTGTAGGTTATTAAGTATCTCTGGGATCAATGTCTCATGTGTGAAGATTATGTGAAATAGCAGATATAAATTTGATCCCCTTGTTCCAAATTCTTTCCAGGCCCAGGCCCTGTCCCCTGGGTCCAGCATGGCATCTCCCTGAGCAGCTTCCTGCTTCGCTGGCTGCTCTCAGGACACACCCCCTCTCCCACCAGCTCCTTATGCCCAAGGAATCCCTGGGCCCGGCTGAGCCACTTTGGAATGGGCTGCAGTGCAGGGTTCTCCCTGCCTGACCTCTTCTCTCTTCTTGGCCAGGGCCACAGCCTGCGGGCCCTTCTGCCTCCTCCCACTCCTGCCCGCTGTCTTTCTCAGCTGTTTTCTCAAATGGGAGGTTAATTCACCTAGAGGGGAGGCACTGGCAGGCACAGGTGTGAGACATTTCAGTATCTGCTTGTCCGAGGACATGAACTTCCAGTGAGAAAGCCCAGGTGCTAACCCAGGGAGCCCCTGCCTTGGTTTCTCTCCAACATCTTAATGCTCAAGAAAAACAGGCATCTCCTGAGGTGGCCACCACCCAGTCCTCAGTGTCCCCAAGGCCACAGTGAAGGAAGCTGCAAGGACAAGTAAACAAGAGACAGGAACCCCCACAGACACCCTGGGGGAGCCAGACAGACACTCCAGAAGCAGACAGGGCCCAGGAGCCTCCAGACAGGACTGAGGGTGGGTAGGGATGGATGAGGGGGGACCTCTGTAGAGGCAGGGATAGGAGTCAAATCAGTTACCCAGATCCTCCCTGGGGTGAAAGAAGAAGTCCTAGAATTGAGTGTCACTCTGGTCTTGGCTCTAACTTCTGGAGGGACTCAGGCCACTGTCATCCTGGAGGTTTAGTTCAACATCACACTTTGGAAAATGTGGCCATTTCTAGACCATCCCACCCTGACCAGGTGCTGGATTAGTGACTCCCAGGGCATCACACACACAATGTCAAGGAAAAGCCAAGCCCTTGGGCAGTGGAACAAGGCAGTCAACCACTCATATTCAATCCGGACCTTTCTCTTTGTCTTCCATCCCACACAGCAGTGCTGCCTCATACGGAAGTTGCTAGCCACATGTGGCTATTGAGCCCTTGGAAAATAGGTAGTCTGAACTAGGACACACTGGATATTAAAGACATAATCTGGACTTTAGGAGAATATAGAATTTATTAGATATGGGATACAAAATAAAACCCATCCAAAGCTCTCTTTATTCCCATAGGCTTTCCCACCCAAATCTCCTAAAATCGTTTCACACTACAAAATCACTAGCAAAGATTAAAGATATGCAAAGCTCCCAGAAATGACAGATGCTCAGTGGAACGAGGACGATGATGAGGTCAGATGAGCTCATTCCTGGAGCCTCACTGTTTGCTCTGTCACAGCAGCAGATCAATACTACACCAGAGGCTAATGTCAGGGACATTCTAAGCAGGTAATTGGCTGGAGCTTCTGGTTGGGAGATGAAGGGGTAGACCACTTATTCCCCCAGTATGTGCTTCATGCTTCTCTGCCAAATACTGCTTCTGCTCCGAGAGAGCCTGTGAGAACCGGTTCATGGCTGGAGGATCCAAATGAAGACAGAGAGAAAGAAAGACTTAGTAGGTTCGCAGGTCATGGTAGACCATCAGGGAGCCTCTCATTCAGGGATGCTGAACTTCAGCCTGCTCTTCTTTGGGATGATTTCTAAATCAACTCACCACAACCCCAATAGTTCTTTTTCAACTTCATTGTCACAGCATCGGCTTGCCAGACACCTTTGTGTCTCATATAAAATCCTATAACCTGGTGATAGACTTGGACTCATTGTGATTTCTATTACCACTAGTGTCCCTTCACTTGGTCTATTCTCCTCTGTAGCTCAAAATTTATTTTTATAACATAAACGCTCTTTCTTCACTGCTCTATTCCCAGCTGGCAAAACATTGTCCAGCATGTGGTGAGATGCAACAGGTCATTGTTAAATGACTGTCATGTTCTCATAATCTTCAGAGGAGAATCTGACTCCATAGAATAACATCCAGGGACATCCATGATCATCTCTGCCTGTCTATCTCATCTACTAACTCAAGCCCCACAGGGCAGAGGACCACTTCTGATTAGTGCCTCGCTCAATGGCAGATCATGTAATCCCTGTTTGCAAAGGAACTTAATCAAAATATGACAGTGCAAACCATCTAAGGTATAGATGAGCTGAAGCTATAGATACTAAAGGCCAATAAGGGAAGACTCAGCTATTGGACAGCAGGAGGGGAAGACAACAGTACTGGAATGTCAGTGCCACTCACCGACTTCCAGGCGCTGGGGCTTATCTGCAAAGGTGATTCGGAACCAGCCAGGCTCCTTACACTTGTAAGCCTTGCCAGGGGCCAATAGGAGCTTGTGGTCCAGGAAGCGGCGATAAAGCTGCTGCTCTTCCTCAAACGTGCATGGATCCAGGTACTAGGGAAGGCAGAGGGACAGAGCTGAGCCCAAAACCTATCAGGCAGATCTGCCCAAGGACACCTGTCCTCACTTCCAGAGCTCACCTCTTTCAAGTTGATCCAGATATAGAGGCCAGAGTCACGATTGAGAAAAGGGATCTTCAATGTTTTCAACATGTTAGTGATGTACTTGTGAGCCTCCTGCATCCGAGAGCGATTAGTGGGCAGGTATACGTTGTCAATCCATTCTGGATAGTGATAGGGAAGAATGCTGTCACAGATCCTCTGGCACAGAACTGCCAAGAATTCTTTGCCACATGCTCCCTACCTGGACTTCCTGGCAGCTATTTCTGTCCAAGACTGACTCCGTACTACATTTGAGTCGATGGCATCCATATTCAAAACTTACCTCCTACCTACTACCTACAGCTCTGGCGAAGACACTGGACTTCTTCGTAAACCTGTAGATGTGTTCGGTTTGACTTTACAGCTCTGACACTAAGACTCAGGGCATCCTCTGTAACGGGTTGATGCTTTTGTTGTCAAATGAGCAGGAAGCAGGAACTCATAGCTTCCCCTACCTCCTGCCTTACAACCTCACACAGTGGGCTTTGAGGTATTTGGTGATGATCTTAGCCCAGTTGTTCTCAGTATTTGCAGCACATTGAACCACCAGGGGAGCTTATGGAAATCCTCATGGCCAGGTTATATCCCCAGATCACCTAAGTCAGAATCTTTGGGGTGAAGCCCACACTCTGGCATTTAAGATCCGTATGTAATTCCTATGTGCTTTCCAAATTGATAGCCATGTTCACGGGGCTGGGAACCTGGTTTCTGCCAAATATCAAAGGGCCTGGCACCATGTAGAGAAACAGGTCAATGGATTTCTCCTATCTACCCTTTTACTCACCCATAGATGGAAATAAGTTTTCTCAACCAGATTATTTGGTCACTTTCATTTATTTAATTATATCCCAGCTTTTAATTTAAATCTGCTAGACTAACATCTGCTCTACTACAGGGAATTAAAGAAAGGGGCCCTTCTCTATGTTTGGACCATGGCACTAAAGGGGGAAGTTGTCCCTGAAGCCGGCATTCACATCAGACCCAAGGGGCAGACGAACCCAAGGGCCATAGGTGTAGTCACAGCAACTTGCAAAATGGCAGCGCTCCCTTGGCCATATTGAAAGATGAAGTTAAGTCATAGTTGAAGAATCAGGGCACTTGTATCTTTGTAACCTTTGCCTGAGCAAGCAGAATATTGGAAAGGGAAAAGAGGCCTTGACATAAAGACAGATTTCTGAAGTTCCCCCAGAAGTCTGCATATAATTGTCTATCCCCTTTCCAAGCGGAGCAAGATCTACCAGACAGCCAGAAATTAAAGCCCATCCTTGCTTTTCGTGCAGCAACTCCCGCTTTTGCCTACAACCTAGTGCCCCTTTGAGCTGCATCCTGCCTTCCTTCAAACTTCCTGTCCTTCACCATGACACCTGAGACAGCAATAGGATGTCAGGGGACTGAAGGCATGACAGAGGCCCAAGCAGACCCAGGAATCCCCCCATGGCCCTGATCACCAAGATGCCTGGATGGAGCTCAGTACCTCTGTCCTGGAGCAGCCGACACAGCTTGTGCTGGGTGATGCCAGAGATGCCGTGGAGGAAGCCAAAAGCACCCACAGCAGAGGCCACCTCCTTGTTGTGAGTGTACAGAGTGCCAAAACGAAAGCCAGAAATCCCAAAACCCTAGAGGAAGAGAGGGAAACCTGGTCGGTTTGTCTTCTTCTCTTGGCTCCTCTTCCTTCCTAACTCAAGGACAGGCAACTGGGACTCACCTTACTGGTGCCCCAGATCACATGGGTCCTGTTGGGGTCAGGCAAACTGGAGAAGAGACAGTACAATCAAGGTTATGGAGAAACTAGAGGCCCAGTGCTCAAAATTCGTGCTCAGGGAGTGGGGTTCCTCAGCCTGGCCTGCACCCTCTCCAATCTAGGAACCCTCAGGCTTATGTCTGATGGCCAGTTTATGCCCCATCCCAGAGGGGTCTAAACCAGCAGTTGGACATCTCTCTTGCAATCTGGGACCACTGGCTCATAACTACTTGTCTGCCTACCAGCTTGATTGCCACCTAACCACTCCCCTGCCAGCCTGATGGCCCCCAACTGCCCTCCATGGCTGGCCCTCCCCTGCTCACCTGATCGCCCTTAACCACCTCTGCCTTGGTCCCCACTACCTTGGCTTTGTCTGGAAGGAAGTCGGATGGTAGGAAGATGTCCTGGTCTAATTAGCATATTGCTCTTTTATTATATAGTATAGATATTTGAAGGATAAAAACTCGGGGTCTTTGGGTGAAAAGGAGGAAATGAAATTGAGGTCTTTCCTCAATAGAAGGGCCTACAGGGTAAAATTTCAAAACTCAATTGCCCCAGTTAAGCCAAGAAATGAATACAAGGTGTTTGGGGGGAACAAGATGAATGGCTCTCAAGTGCCTATTGAATAAAATCAGGACCCTCAGCCTGGCTTGTGGGCCTGCCTCTATCTGGTCTCAAGCCACTTCCTGTTAGTTGATTTTTAGCACATGAGATACACCCAACATTTCTAAAACGTGCTCACTTCTTACTGTTCCACCCATGTTAATACTTTTACTTCATCCAGGAATTCCATTTCCTTGTTTTGGCTGCTAGAATCCTATCCCAGGGCCAAATACTGTTCTTATAAAGTTCTACCCCATTCCTACATTTTCCATAGAAACTTTTCAAGAGGTTCATACATAGAACTTCAGCAGGACTTCATCTTGACTTCTTAAAAATATATTTTTATTGATTTTTAGAGAGAGAAGAAAGAAGGAAGAAAATGAAACATCTATGTGAGAGCAGAGCATCCATCAATCAGCTGCCTCCTGCACACCCTTTACAGGGGATCCAGCCTTTCAGCCCAGGCATGTTCTCTGACCAGGAAGTGAACCAGCAATCTTTTAGGAGGACACCCAACCAACTGAGCTACACTGGCCAGGGCCATCTTGATTTTTGATAGTGCACTGTCCACCTTGCCCTCAAGTTTCCTCATGTACAAAATGGCATTTAGAAGAGAAGACACTTGAGAGGTTGGATGAGGCCTTGCTAGTTTTCATATCCCAGTTGGTACTTATTTTTGTTTCAAGCACTTAGCCCATTAAATTTAAGGCACATAAACTGATCCAGCAAAACAGTTGATGATTCTCATTCCCACTCCAGCTGAGACCAACTCACCTTTCCATGCTCAGAACACTGTGGAATGGGATGGATTCATCAAACACAGTCCCCATGTATATCTCATCAATAATCACATGAAGGTTGTTCCTGCAAGTTAGGCAGAAAAGGGAAAACATTAAGGTTGTCTCTCTCATCTTAACTCACTTTCTTTTATGGTCAATTCTGAATACAGATCAGATTCTCCTACTGCCCCAGCAGCACATCCACCAAAGATCTTGGTAAGGCAGAAGGGCTAGTACACCAGAAAGGACATTACACATTGCTAGGGAGTACTTGGAGGGCATAGAACCCAAAAGACACACATGAGAAAATCTTACTGAACCTTTCAATCCTCAAGCAGAGACCACTTTGTGGTGTTAAGTGGGTTAAGACTTATATGCACATGTTGTTTATTCTTTTATTTGGCCCTCTGAGGCAGTACTGTTATCTCCATTTCACAGATGAGGAAACTAGTTTCTGAGACAACGTTAATACCCTCTGTTAGCAGTTTTTGGAGCTGAAATTTGAACCTAATTCTGTCAAATTTTATCATTCTTCCTCTTGTCTCCATGCTCTGCTATTGATTGCTCTGGGTTTTATGAGGCTTGGACAAGTGCCTCTTTTCTAGAAAATAGAAGACTCTCTACCCTCATTAACAGGGCTGTTTCTGGACTTCAGACATGTCAGATATGAAATGTTCTTAGGAACAGGACATTTCTTCATCTTCATCCCACAACATCCGACAAAAGTCTCTCTTTCCTGGCACCTCAGGCTAAGTAAGCTGGAAGTGGATTCTGGGAAAGTGCTCATGCTAGAAGAAGTGGATAGGCAAAAAAAACTATAGTATGATTGTTACATAGGTTTTTGCACATAGACAAAGACTAGAAAGAAAATGGAGGAGAAAAGATTGGTGGAAGCTGTAGCATGTGGTTGCATTTTCCTCCATTCCCATTTCAGTTAGTTGTACACCACCTTGCAGAGTGTAATAAGCAGTAAGCATAGTTAGGGGGAAATTATTTCTGGTTCTTACTGCTTGTCCATGACTGATGGCAATTTAATTTCAAGTGGTAAACTCCTACCTCTTGGCAAATTCCAGGTATTCCTTCAGTGAGTCCCGAGAATAGATGTCTCCCAGAGGATTATTGGGGTTGATGAGAACAAGACCTCTCACTTTTTTCCCCTGAAAGAACCAAATATAACCCAATGAACACAAACACTTCACATCTACTTCACATTCAGCCAATGTCAGTCAGGACACCAACATAGGTCATATAATCAAGGTCTAAATTTGATCTTGAAGCACCTATCATAGTGTCCTCAGGGCAGAGCAGGAAGAAGAGCTGGGGACCACCACTGAGAAGGCTCAGGGCTCCCAGAGGGACATGTCCCTGGAACACTGCCTCTTCTGAAGAAGGAGCCCACACACTCTTGTTGAGGAAGTTGGAGCAGAGGCTTAGTACTGACCCCCCTTCAGGGGCAGCAGTGCCCACCCTGACCCATGGTCCTCTCCTTACCTTAAACCCAGCCTCAAGCAGGGCCTTCTCCAACTTGTCCACAGTCAGCTGGAATGGCTGGGTGTTCGCCCCAGTGATCTGGAACACAAACACTGCTTGAGGACTACCCATCTGAAAGCTTCGAAGCTTTGATCCCTCATTCCCACAAATTGTGAACAATACTTGGCTTTCATATCCAGGGTACCAGTCTTACCTGCCCTCTGTGCCGATTTTTTCATCCTCACCCCATCATCACTTATATGAGAGGAAAACAAGCCCCCCACTCTACCCTATGCCTTCAAATTCCTTCCAGACATTCCATTTCTTAGGTGGGCTGAGCAAGGAAAGGGCCCCATTCTGACCTCACTGTCTAGGTAGACAGGAATCAGCTCAACATTCACATATAGGCTGGAAGTAAACGTGAAGCCAGAATAGAAGGGGGTGACGGTCAGAAAGGCATCTGGAAGCACAAGGAGACAAGGCTATCAGTCCAGGGTCTCTCAGTCAGAACCTACCACATACCATCTGATCCCCAGGCCAGCAGCAACTCTACCAACAGAATGGCTTACTTGGCCAATTCCTCCTACTTGGGAATTAATACTTTGGGGCTCAGGTTCTGTAAAAGGTAGCTATTCTTATAAACAATATTTGGGGAACAAAACTCTAATGTCATCCTTGGGGCTATACTAGAGGAGGAGACAAGGAAAGAACAGTGTTTTGAATGGCTCAAAAACCAGGGCACAAATCAAGCCAGCCCTCTTAGCAGGGTGAGCACTGAGCACTCACAAATTCTGGTCAGCTCCAAGCAAACATCAGAGGCTTCTTCTCCACATGACTAAAATTATCTGCAACTAGTGGCCTCATGCATTCTCCTCTTCCCATCATTTGGCCTTATTGATAAGCTAATGAAGATCTATGGCTTAAATGAAACTGGCCACCTTGGTAACTACCATGCAGCCAAAGCTCATTAAAGTCTGAGATTCTTGTTTGGACATTGTTAAAAGGGACATTGAGAACAGAACTCTCAGCCTTACTTGATCTAGAATTAATTAGACATTATTTTTTAGGAGGCAGTGATAGAAATTCTATATAGTTTAATCTAGTTTACCAGGGATCTCTGTATTGGAGTTGACCCCAAGTCCAGCTAATAAAATAATGGGTTGGCTCCCACCATCACCATCCCTAGAGCATATCACCTTAAAAATTCTCCCATGATTTCCTTCCTCATTAGGTGGGGATGCAAATCCCTCACTCCTACAGAAATAGTAGGAAGATGTTCTAACCAGTGTAGGAGAGTCCTAGCACATTAGGGGAAGGGCCTGAGTCAAGATGTGTTTTTTTTTTCCTCTGAGGCCCAGTGCCTGTGTGGTGCTATTTCCCTGAAGGAAAGCAGAGCCTATCGACTTACCACCTGGATTACATAGCACCAAGGTCAATGCAGAGAAGATAGCACAGCAGCCACTTAGAACAACCACCTGGATAAGATGCAGAGAACGCAGAAGTCAATCCCCATGTATAAAGGGCTAGTACCCCTTGGCTTTTACTTTGTCTTGACCCTGATGGGTCTCTGCTGGTTCTCCCTGTACTCTCTGAAAAAATGCAGAGTCCTTCAAAAAATACATCTCTCCACTAGGAGATAAATGATGCTGGGTAAATGACTCACATTTTCTGGATCAAGCTGCTCAGGTGCCTTGCAGTAATGGGTCAGGAACTGGGCTACTTCTTTCCTCAGGCTATGGAGAGACCCAGAAAAATCTTGTGGTTCCCAGGTTTAGACTGCAGTCTTTTCCAAAGGGCAAAGAGTCTAAATATGCTTCAGGGATTCTGACAGAGGTGTCAGTTCCCTGGGTTACAGATGGTAAATCTCACCAGGATCTCAAGCCTTTAGAATTAAACATCAGTGCCATTTATACTATAGCAGGCTACCTCCAAATGTTGAGCCCTAGGCATTTTCTAGAAGTTCTTCCCCAAAGAAACGGAGGTAGCCAAGCAGGAATCTCATACTTTGAGCCCTTCCCTGCATGGTGCCTGTAGACCAGGAGGCCATAGATCTGGAAGTTACTTACAATGCATGTCCACTCCAATCAGGATATTGCAGAAGGTCATCATCAATGTAGTTCATGTCACTTTGACTCAACTGTTGACAAATAAAGCATGAGGACAGCCACTCCAGGATGCACGTGGGCATTTGCCCTACAACACAGGGCCTCCCAGAGGGCAATGGGCACACATGCTGCATGTTCCTGAATGAAGGAGGCCCTGATCTTCTTATCAGATTACACAAATGGGTAACTTACTGAGAACTGCTTAATTAGCAATCCCCCAAACCGAACACTTGGGCCAGAGGCTCCCTTGTCAGTCTACCCAAAATATACTCATCCAAAGAATACCTCTGAACACTCATAAAATCCAGGAGATGACACATGCTATTCCAGAAGTTTTCCCCCAACTCCCTTTCCTAATTGCCTAAGACCTACTCCTATAGCCTCTACATGCTAGGGGGCCTGGGCCTGAATATGGGCCCCAGCAAGCCCAGAACTTGGCTTACCCTTTCAGTCAGCAGATCAATGCAGAGCTTGTTCTCACTGAGGCCAAGGTTAATGAAGCCCTGCAGATGGAAGGAATCTGAGATCAGTCCTCCTGCCCTGCCTAGATCAGCCCTTTAAACATGTCAAACAATACTCTTCTCAGATGATTTCTAAAGGGAAGAGCTCACTGTCCCATGAGGCAATTCAATCCACATTTACATGTTTGAAAGTTTCCCACAGCCCCAAAATCATACAGCTTGCAATATCCCCCTTTGGAGCCACAGAGATAAATCATAGTTATATTACATACCATCAACCAATCATTGGGTTCTTATTATGTGTCAGCCACTAGACTAAGTGCTCCATTTGAGTTGCTTTCAATTTCACTATTCCTGATAGTAAAGTTCTAACATGGCCCCTACTTTTAAGTGTTGTAAACTAAGAAAGATTGAATAGCCTACTAGTCATACCACCTTAGTGATGGGTAGACTTTACCTTCCTGCCCCAGAATCTGGATCCTTAAGCACCACAGACCCTGCCTCATACACATCTTTGTCATTTCCAGTTCCATGTACAGGATTTTCAAGTTATTAGAGCAGTTACAGTTCTTCAGAGTCCCAAAGGGTATCCGACTCACTTGGCCCCCAGAAAAGCACATGGCGATTGAGCACATGTCACTCAGATAGAAGCAGAGAGATGATTTACTCGTGCTGCCCTCCACCCTGTGACTGGAGAGCTGTTATGAACATCCCTTGCTGGAAGTCTTACATTGACTCCCTGTCACCCTTAGGATAATATGCTACCCCTGACCACCCCTGTCCATACTTCTTGTCACAGCCCTCATTGCCCTACTCTATCCACATGGGCTTCCTTTTCCATTCACTCCAAGCCCTTCCCACCTAAAGCTTCACACACACACACACACACACACACACACACACACACACACACACACCCCATCCCACCACCACCACCTTTAAGACAAAGCTGGCATCCCCTCAGTCTCTCAGCAACATTATTGTTTCTTTCCCAAAGGCTGATGACTATCATCCCTAGATTGAGTTCAATGAGAGCTGGTTCACTTACACCTATGACCACAGTGACTCCTAGAGGTAAGAGCAGGGATTAGGGAAAGAAACCAGAGGAGAAGAAGGGAATCCAATCTCAGCCCTTCACCTTTCTTGGGCATGTCATTCTATTTTGTGCCCATTTCCTTATCCATAAAGAGAGAATACCACCTACTTCATAAAGCCAGGAAGAGTAAGCGAGAGAGCACAGTATTTGGCACAGGACTCAGTAAATTTTAGTGACTAGGCCTCTCTAGTGTGCCCTTCCTGCCCCTCCTCCCCCCATCCTCACCAAGGCATTCTTGTCCTCCTGGTATTTGTCTCCTATGTAGGCTATGAAGTCCTTGAAGCTGGACTTGTAAGAGGCAGAGATGTCAATCCCACGGTTGGATAGGTCACAACTGAGAACTGCAGTTTTCGAATCACTCAGTTGGTCACTTAGCTGGTCAGGCTTCCTGGGCAATTGGGCCTGCTGCCCATCACCACCCCTTGAGTCCAGGGAAAGGCGAGGTAGTTGGGGCTCCAGGATACTTGTGGCACCGGCCTGTAAGAAGTTGACTACCTCACCAAGTAATTGGACAAAGATGACTTCCTGGTCTTTGATGTCCTGACCGTGTTGTTGCTTCTCCTGCTCCAGGTCCTTCTGCAGGTGCCTGATCTTCAGCTGCCTGGAGTACTCGTCTATTATCTGCCGTAGGTGCAGGATCAGCTCCATCACCTGGGAGTGAGGCTTCTGGGTTTTGAGGTCCTGGCCCTTCATTTGGAGGCTGTTTGGTTGGTGACTCATAGTCTGGGTCGTGGTTGTGGTCTCAACAAGCTTTCCTGAACCTACAGAGAAAGAAAGAGACCATATACTGCAATAACATAGACTCCCCTTGACCTCAGGCTGGCCTAGTATCCTCCCTCATCCACACTAGGTTATAGAACTGAATTGGTTCTGAAAGAGTTACCTACTCATTCAAGGGCAATGCCTAAGTTGTCCCAGCCCAGACCCTTGGGCAATGTGCTTCCAGCATCAAGCCCTGATCATCAAAGCCCTCAAATAACTACCACAAGACAAAAAGAAGCAAAAACAACAACAACATTAAAAACACATTAAGCCCAGCGGCATTACCACTTTTGAGGAGATTGTTAACAATGTCTGACAGGTGTGGCACCTGCCTAGTCTGTGCGCTGCAATGGTGATGGCCAACACCCTGGTGACATCATAGATGATATCAGCAGTGGTACATTGGAATGCCCAGCTAGTTAAGAACTACAAAGGAAAATGTTTCAATTAAAGATCATTTGACAACAACAATATATATATATTTCTGATGGGGAAAAAAGAATCTTTGGGCTCACTTTGAGGAAAAGTAGAAACTGAACAGATAGGCTCTGAGTTCTCCACCTTGTGCTTCAACTAGAGTAATTCCTGCTTCATAATGTTCTAAGAAAGGAGAGGAATGCTGCTGCTATAAGAAAGGAGAAAGAAGAAAGGAAGGGAGAATAGAGGAAGGGAGAGAAGGAAAGAAGGAGAGAGGAAAGGAAGAACGAAGGAAGAAAAGAAGGACTAAAATCTTGTCACTTCTATTATAGTTTTGTGGCACCAACACTTCAAAGTACTGGACACTATGCCCAACTCTCCAAACTATGTTTGGTCAACTTGTGATGTTCCCATAGCAACCTATACTTTTAAGTCAGTGGTCAGCAAACTCGTTAGTCAACAGAGCCAAATATCAACAGTACAACGATTGAGATTTCTTTTGAGAGCCAAATGTTTTAAACTTAAACTTCTTCTAACGCCACTTCTTCAAAATAGACTCACCCAGGCCATGGTATTTTGTGGAAAAGCCACACTCAAGGGGCCAAAGAGCCACATGTGGCTCAAGAGCCACAGTTTGCCGACCATGGTTCTAAGTGACAATACTTGTTTAGTGTCTGTATAAATCGTTATATCCTTAGCACAGTGCCTGACACATGGGTAACTAGTTGTTTAAAGTGGTTAGAATGAGAACCTCTACAGGCAAGTTTATGGAGCAGAAAATGGGGGTGAGGTCAAGTAACCAAAAGAATAGGGCTTTCCTGGTAAAATGTATTTTCTGATATAAGGAAACTGAGAATGCAGAAGGCCAGAAGGAAACTTGGCAGGTGGGCCTCTGCCAAGACCAGTCCTTTCTATTAAAACAAAACAAAAAAAAGTCTATTGTCTTTCCATAAAGGCCATAATGTCTCTAAATTGTCTAGTGTTGAGTTATACCAATCTCTCCTCAAGTCTTTTGCCTATACCTCTGGTTTCAGTATTCCTCAGCTCCCAACCATCTACCCCTCTCAATCCACTTGCAGGGGTCTTCTACAGCAGCTAGAGCAAGGTCTCAGAACGATCCCAGCTGGTGCCAACAGCCCTCTGATAAGAGCTGAAGGACAAACAGTAGAAGCCAAGAAGGGGACATGGACATGGGAAATAAACCAGGAACAAGTCAGTATCATGATCATTCATAGTATACTCCTCAGACCCAGGACATTCTGAAAGTCACTTTTTCTAGTGCCCTACAAACCATCTCCCTCTGCCTTGCCCTCCAGCCTTCCTTCCCCTTGCCAGAGCCTCCCCTGGTGTCTCAGTAGTCTAACCGAATTCGATTCTTCCTTCTTAGTGTGGCAGTACAATAAGGATCATAGAGTTTTCTTAACATGCACGGGAAACAAAGGTGTTTGGGGATAGGGATCCCTAAGTACTAGTGGCAAAATTAAAATCTCAGGCCAAAGCAGCCTGGAGAAGCCTAGATTCTATTCTATAGTAACTATTCACCAATTGTCTGATGTCAGAAGAACTATTTCCCCCGTCTGGGCATCAGTTTTTCCATATGTAGATGAGAAGATACTTGCCTCAATTCAAGATAATAAAACGGAAGCTCAATGAAGACAAGTAACTTCTATGGTTCCCCAGTAGAGCCAGGATTTAAGCCTCAGACCTCCCACATTAACTCAGAACTCTCAGACAGAGGAGATTACCAGCTCTTGCGTGGACTGTTCCCTTTCCCTCGCATTCCCCCAGAGATTTCAGGTTCTAAAGTTGGACTACTATGTCCAACAATGTTGTCATCTGGTCTTATGGGTGACTCAGAGTCCTTGAACAGAAGCAAACAAATTTCTGGAAGTGGTTTAACTTAGCCCTCAAACTTCTCAAAGGGTCATTTTTTGAAATACAGTGTCCAGCACACAGAACATCCAGCCACGTGAACAAGCAGCATGGGCTAAAACCAGCACAGACAACAGAAAGGCCAACTGGACTCCAGCTGCCGGGAATAGATTGTAAGATCACTGCTTTCCCATTCATGGGATGGGATCCATGAGTGGGGCAGTGAGGTCTGGATCCCCTTCTGGACCACAGGTTTTTCAGCCTCTGCCAACGTTCCAAGGCACAGAGGGAGTTCTTGGTTAGGGTTTATTGATGACTATTGATAATTTACCAATTAGTGAGGGAAGATGGGAATGGAGAAATCCATCAGTTGTAGCTCAGGTGAATGTTGACAATGGATTGATTTGCCCAGAGGAAAACCCTTATGTTCCTCAACCTCCTCCATTTCCCACCACTCCCTCAGCTGATGCTCTCTCCTAGCAATGGCCGCCCTCCCAGCACAGCGCTGTCCCATGAATTTGCCAAAAGGGGTCGCTGAATCCTAACTTTCCTTCCTGGCTCAGAAAACTCAGGGCAGCTATAGCTGAGGACTCAGAATCTGGGTGAGAGTGGAAGGGAGCCCCTCCTAGAGCCGCCAGTGTGTCTTCTGCAAGTATCATGTCCAATAAGGTATTAGGCACCTGGCTGGATTCAGGCAATACAATCCTGTTCTAACTCAAACCAACCCTGTACTCTGAGGGCTCTAGAATATCGGTCTTACAGGCAGGACCTCGGGCTCAGTGGTCACACAACTAGAAATCATCAGGGAAGGATTAGATTCCAGACTTGGCAAATATTTGTTCCTCTTCCATTCCCCTTCCAACCCAGTTCCTTTTGGCTTCTCTATTCCAAGGGCAAAGCAAGATTCCAAGTCTGGCATCTGCCTTGGCCCAGCTCAGAAGGCCTTGGCTCTCTTTGCTGGTGGAAAGGCGAGGAGGGAAGCAGAGTCCCTCCTCCAAGAGCACTACCTGGCTGCCCTCAGCTCCCCCGATCCTCTGCTTTGCATCATGCTTGTTCCCTTGATTTCTATTCCCTGGGTTTTTAAGTAGTCACTTGCCCACAGGCAAATTCATTTTGGAGGAGGAGTGTGGCAGGCCCAGGTATGAGGGTGAAAGGGGGAAGATTCAGCAAATGGTCCTCTGACCCAGCTCAGGGAGAGACAGCAATGAAACTGAGGTTCTGAGGGGCCTACCTGAGAGGACCTGGCCTGTGCACTTTGTGTGGCCAGAACCTGGGAGTCCAATCATGGGGCTTTCTTTGCTGATGTGGGTCCTGAGTTCCACATACTGGGCCTCCCAACAAGGCAGGGAGGAGAATGACCTTGGTCCCACTAACCCAGGAGAAGTACGTCCATCATTAAGAACTTGTTTTGAGGCCCTGTGGATGGACCTCTCATCTCAGCCCTAATTTTATCTGTATGTGCTTTGGTGTAAAATGATAAGAAGGTCCATTGCTTTCATCAGACTCCCCCAGAGACCCAGGGTCATTCTAAGGCAGAGGGGTTCTTCCAGGGAAAGCTCGATTAGAACCCATCATTCGGGGTACTCCCTGCCTCCTTTGCTCTCCCAACCTCCCCCCTCCTCCCTCACACACACACAGCACTCCCCAATTTCTTTGCTTGGTTCCTCCATCTCTTTCCTGTGCCTGGATTGCATCTACTTCCTTCCAGCATTTAGTCCTCTGCCAGACTTCAATAACCTCTTCAAATATGAGTAACCCATTCTCCTTCCAGACCTGAGGCTCTGTTCAGTAAGTCTTTTCTGGGCTCTTTCTGTTTGCTTTCCCCAGGCTCTTCCTGCTTCTTCTGCCCCAGAGGAGTTGGTTCAAACCACCCTGTCCCCCCCACCACCACCACCACCTCCAGGACTCAGTATAGTGCTTAGGACACGAAGAACAAAGAAAGGGGTTTTGTTTCATTTCCACAGACACTATCTTGGCTTTGTCACCCACACTTCAGAGCCCAGGGCCCCCTTCAAGAGCCCTGGTCCTGGGATTAAGGCCAGGTGACCTGGTCCTGGGTGTGCTGGGGAGAAGCAGGGGACAGCAGCACGGGGCGCCTGGGGCCTGGCTCCCTGAGGACAGTGCTGTAAACATCGACGGGCACTGAGCTCATCTGATGGCTGTGGTCCTGAGAGGTTTCTCTTTCTGTGTGGGGTGTTGGGTGTGGGGTGTGGAGTGTGGGATTTGGATATGGGGTGGGCAGTGTGCTCTGTATGGAGCTGCTGTCAAGACCTGAGGTTCAAGGCACAGTTTAAGGCCCATCTCAGCCACTTACAAACCGTGTGGCTGTAAGTTATTAAGTATCTCTGGGATCAATGTCTCATTTGTGAAGAGACATGAGGGAACAGGGGTTCAGAGGATTCATGTGAAATAATGGATATAAAAGTGAGCCTCTTTCCAGATTCTTTCCAGCCACTCACCAAACCATTCCTTCACCTGATCATTAAAATACTCATTCTTTCCATCCATTTTCATTGAGCCATTCCTGCCCCCCTCCCCCCTGCCCCGCTCGCCAGTCTCCTGGGGCTGGGGCCATTTCAGGGAATATTCTGGAAGGAGCTGATTCCTCTCCCCCATTCCCAGGAGACCTAGATGATGAAGAGTTGAGAGTTTCCACCGGACTTTTTCTT